TGGCTTGGTGATTTTGCTTTCTTCTGAAGCTGGCAATGTGAGGCTATTTTTTAAGCTTGGTGTTTTCATTCAAGATGGCACCAGCCACAAGTACTGCTTCTCCAGCAAGGGCGATTCAGGGATCAAGTGTTGTCTTTTGTGCAATGTCACTGCCAGCAAGGTATCTGATGAGGAAGATCCTGAATCAGCAGAGCTTTCTCATACCTTCAGGTACAACCAACTCAGGGTCTACTCAGATGAAGAGATTCTTGGCGCCTATGACAGGTTGGAGCAGAAAAAGACAGCGCTTAGCGCTGTCGACTTTGGTCTAGTAAAGGCTGTGGGTGTCACGTACAGCGCCCAAATGCTTCTCTTGAATACAGACCTCAGAGCAGCCAATGTGTCGCGCCCAGCAACCCAATACTGCCATGATTACATGCATGGGTGCCTGTCAAATGGAACCTTAAGTGTTTCTGTTTTCCTCCTGTTCAGTGCGCTTCCTGGAGATGCTTGAGCATTGTTGCACGAGTGCTTGGACTGCTGGAATTTTCCTGCCTCCTTGAGTTGCAAGCACATTTCAGATTTGTTCAATGAAAAATCTGTCAAGAAGTACAAGAAAGCTTGCAAATTCACATGTGAGGCTTCAGAGCTTCTGAGCTTGCTCCCTGCGCTGGTGCATTGGGTCCTCCAAATGTGGCAAAGGGGCATTGAATCCGTAGCTTCCAAAGCCCTTTTGGGGCAGGCTTATGTTGTGGCCCTCTTAACAGAAGGGCAACTGCTTGGCTTGAACACGCCCGCAAGGCTTCTTGCAGCCATAGAAAGGTCCTTTGAGCTGGCTGGGCATCTGCCATGATACCCATTGGCAGCTGCACTACCCTTCTGAACGAGCGCTTTGGCAAGCTGTGCTCTTGCTTCTGCATGGAGCGGAAGCATAAGATCTGCAAGAGGTTTGGCGCAACAGTTCAGAATACTTTTGCTTTTGAGAAGAGCATGGTGGAAGAGATGGTGGCCCAGGAGGTTCATGATTTGCTGGGAGTTGATAGCTTTGAGGAAGGGCCATTCTTGATAGAAGCTCATCCTCCAAGCAAGAGGCTTTTGGACAAGGTTGCTTCAGCCTTTAGCGCAGAAAGTTCTTCACAGCTCAAAGGCTAAAGTTCCTTGTGGCCTTTATGCAAAGTGGATCTTGTCCTCCTTGCAGACAACAGAGCTGCTTTCATCCATGCATTCTTTCTAGTTGGGGGGGATGCAGCTGGCCTTGGTAAACTTGATGGTGGTGGTGGAAAGAGATCTTGGCACAAATGCCATCATCTACAGTGATGGTGGGCAGATGTGCTTCATCCACTTGGAAGACATCAAGATGTCTTGTCTTTGGGGCAAAGTTTCCAAAGGCTTCAGGGTGCTGTCACCCTGGGTCACACAGGCTGAGCCTGGATTCTAAATACAGCTGCCAGCAAATGCAAAAAAGAAAGGTCAGAGCTTTGTGGATTTCATTGTGGGAAATCATTAGCCATTTTGGGCTCGTGCTCACTAGCCATCTTTGGCTCATGCCTTGGAAGAGCTTTTTTTGGTAGCCCTAGTTGGGTGAGGCTGGCTCCCACATTCAGCTTTCACAACAAAATTTCACTGAAAATTTGTAGGTGAAAAACCATTAGCTAACTATATGCTAACTAGTTGTATTTTTCTGAAAAATTCTTAACTTATGTTAACTTATTAGCAAGACCACAGCCCATCTAAGGAGGGTTGCACGGGCAGCCGGCAAATCGCACTCTCGCCTGCATTTCGCGCACTCGACACGCACGATCTCCGCAGAGGGTTGCATTTTCGGTTGACGCTGTTCGTCCCACCCTCCGCCTTTAAGAGAGAATTTATAAAGTGGGGAAATGTTTTTCATTAGGACATCTCCCGTGCTAGTTTTCCATGCTCACACTTGCATACTGATTGCATGCTTGCATACTCATTGCATGCTTGCATACTCATCGTTGCACTTGCATCGTTACACTTGCATACTTTGCACTTGGATGCTTTCGCTCTTCCACTTACACTGGGGTACGTATAGCGTTGATGTTGTAGTGCAAGTGTGGAAATGTCAGTGTGTAAGTGTAAGTGTCGAAGTGTCAGTGTTCAAGGGATTTTTCCGGAAGAACCCTTCGCAATGCTTTCGGGAAAAATGAGCCCAGTTCCCGAACACTCTTCCCGACAATGTCTAATGAAAAAGCTTCTTTCAGACCCAGGCTGACGTGCCGATGGGTCATCCACTCGCCCCTCAACGGCTTCAAAGCGCGGTGGAGCTGGTGGGAACTCACACCCCTCAGCGGTGCTCGACGTCGGCACCTCATCGGCCTTGGATGCTTCACCGGCCGGTACAACAGGAGAAACTCCGGAGAGACCTCCACTCTCCGTCTCGAGGCCTGAAAGCGGCCCGTCCACATATCCCTCCTCACGAGAGATTCCATCACTTGCACTGAATTGCTCACCGCTCCACCCTCCCGCAAACAGCCTCCAGCCGTTTTCTCAGGAGGGACAACTGTGGCTGTACCATCCAACCTCAACTCCAAGGGCTCTTGACACCAAGAGCTCATTTGGCATTGTCGCCGGTCTTGTTCTTCTCCCCCTTGTTGGCAGACCCCTTGCTTTTGCCCTTCTCCTTCTTCTGCTCGTAGTGGTTTTTCCCTTTCTCTTGAGTCGAGACTTGCCTTTCCCCTTGCGACCATCGGGCTGTGCCGCGAGGTGGCGAACTTTTGATTCGGAATAGGCATCCTTCTGAGCGGCTGACACCTCCTGAGGGGCTGCAATGAACAGCCCCTCCTGTTCCATTCTCTGTGCCACTGACCAGTGGGACTGTCTCGATGCTCTTGAGTCTTTGACTCAAGATGTCTGCCGTCCGGGCCGGACAGCCCCGAACCAGCCAGTCCAGCGAGGTGTAGCCCTGCGGTGTAACCGCTGCTGGTAGTCGGTCACGCACACGGCTGGAACTCCGCTCGGTTTGGACTGCTCCCCAATCGACTGCAGCAGGTTCTGCTTCATCATGCCCAACGAGTTGCAACACAGAGCCCCTGAGCAGGCGTCCGCCATCTTCTTCACTCTGCTGTCCACCTCGAACAGATCCATGTCTCCTTCTTGATCCTCGTCTGTCGCAGTCGCTTCGGTGCTGCTCCTGCTTGAGCTTGACGACCTCCCCGACTTTGACTTCTTTGCGGCCTTCCTGGCCCTCTTGATCACGCGCTTCCTCACACGCTCTCGTGGGTCCAGGCCTGTTCCCCTGAAGAGCGACTTCAACGACTTTTGAGCTGCAGCCCTGGGCCTCTTGACATCGTCCCCAATGCTCGACTCCGAGCAGCTCATACTGGCGTCCCGCTTCTTGCCACGCTCCTCCTTGACCTTTTTCTCCTTCCGTGGACTCTTGGTTGACGATGAACTGCGCTTCTTCTTTCGCTTTTTCTTTTTGGACCGCTCCTTCTTCTTGTCTTTCTTCTTGGAACCTGGCGCTTTCTCCCCCTCTGGCTTCTTCTCGTCCTTGGGCTTGGCCTCGCCTTCTAACAAGCGGCGGTCGTCCCGATCTCGAAGATCTCGCAACTCGTCGCCTTCTCCTGGATAGGCATTCAGGAGATTTCTCGCCCCAAGGCTCTTCCTCGCTTGGTCCTTTCATCAAACGAGCTTTCAGGGCGTGCACGAGGTCGTCTGCCACCCGTTCCCCCGAACAACCTTCTGTGGCAACGGATCGGAATTGTCGGGTTGCCAGTATGATGCTTGAGCAATGCTTCGCTGTTCGTCCCTGTGGCTTCGAGCTGGAGGTGGATCGTGCCATCTTCTATGGTCAAACCCTGTATCACGCCTGCCAAACAACAACTGGCCATGTAGTAGGACGCCTGCGTGGGCACCTGCCATAGGTTCACTTCTTGCCCTCTCAACCAAAGCTCCCGAGGCACAGGAGCTTCGCTCTCCCTCGCGTCGGCTGCGGGTCGATGTAGAGGACGTCATAGGACCCCCACTCGTCTGCCAGGTTGAGCTTTGGCTTTTGCCCGGCCCGCTGCCTTCGCCTTTGGTTTTGCTTTTGGCGGCATTGCTACCGGTAGCCGGCAGCTCGCCTTTCAACCCCTCGCTGACGGTGCTTGGCACCCTTTGAACCTCTGGGTCGCTTTCCTTGAACGCCTTCTCGAACCGCAGTACGAGGTGTGTCCTCCTCTACCGCTCTCTTGAGAAGGTGGAGGGTGACTTGGGGAGGTGGTGGTGGAAGCAACCTGGGAAAGATCTCTGAGATCGGGATGCCTCTCGATGCCGCTGGTTTTGGAGCTGGCCTGAGTCCGTGTGGCCCGAGTTCCTTCTCCTCGGATGGCTGCCTGTCTTTCTCGGGCTCTTCTGCCTCGACTGGACTGTCTGCTTTGGGTGCTGATTCAACACCTCCGGGCTCCTTGTCCTTGTCCTTCCTAGATCTGCGTCTCTTGCGGTCTGGTCTTGCCTCCTTCTTGGAATTGGGATCTCTGCGCCTCCTCTTCTTTTTTGCTTCCTTCTCAACTTCTGGCTTTTCTTCAGCGGGTTCTTTCTCAAAACTGGCTTCAACTTCTTCTTCGTCCTTCTCAATGAGCTCCACGAGGCTACCCTTCGGCTCGTCGTGCTCCTCCTTGGTGACAGCCTCTTTCAACTCAGGAGTCTCCTCCACTCCCGAAACGGCCGCTCCAACAGGAGGCTTCTCAGGCTCCCGTTCACCTGCTCCGGAGGTCACGCGTTCTGCTTGTAGAATCGGACCCGCCTATTCTGCCAAGTCAACCAGCGCTCCGGCTGCACTGCGCAAAGCCTGTAGCACAGCCTGTTCTTGGGTCCTCAGGAGCAGGCCTCCCGTAAGGATCTCCTTGATCCTTCTCAAAGTGCGACACGCGCTGCACAGCGGCCCCGTGAACAAATTGCAAGACGAGCAACTCATCCACGAATGCTTAAGCCAACACTGCAGGAAAAACAAGGGACATGCTAGACATCTTAACCCGCGGGGCCGCAGATACATATATAACTGGCTTTTGCCATGTTGCTCTCGTGAGAGATGCTGCTTTTCCCAGCATGGGACAGGATCTGGAGGAGGAAAGCACCTAGCGGTGAGCAAACCTCCCTCTTTCCGACATGCCCTGGTGATTGCATGATGTTCTTTCTTCTGCAGTGCCTATCTGAAGAGCAACAGCTACGGCAGCAATCTGATAGACCTTCGTCTGGAAGCCAACTTCAATGTTCTTCCAGCCTCTGCACAAAGCTTCGGTCCAACTGACATGATATAACATCGTGTCAGCGACTCAGTCCGCCACTAATAAAATCGAACACGCTGACTGCGTTGTACAGCCTGCAGGTTGCATTGAAGGTGTCTGACTCCTTTTCTTCTGTGTTTCGCAAGGACATTCACAAGTCGGTCGTTGAGTTTGCGCTGGGCCTGGTGTTGAAGGTGGGCTCCTTGTGGACGGTCCCAAGGTAAGATGGGAAGAGGGTCCGCATTTTATTCCTCACTTGTCTGCACAAAGTGCAGGTTTTGGGCACTTGAAGGCATGCCGTTGCATGGGCTGCGCAGGCAGGGAACAAGAGCAAACCCTCAGCAGCTTTCTCCTTTAAATCTATGCTCTTCTCTAATTCCCTTCATTCACTTCTATGTCTTCTATTTCATTTGTGCAAAACTTGGGTGGTTCCCCAATTCAGTGTTTTCCAAAGGTTGTGGTGAGACATAGGGAGCTTGCGATGCTGGCGGCTGTGTGGGGCCGTCAACTGAGGCACTGGCGCGTACAACTCCCAAACGTGTTCGTCAGCAGTTGCGAAGGGCATTTGTAGCACTCGCAGAACGAGGAACAGAACCACCTGAAGGAGCTGCAGTCTTTGCCAAAGCCCCGGAAAAAGGGCTTGGAAAGGTCTAGTCATCCGTTCGGTTCATTGAAGATTTGAATTCAACACACGCAGTCAGGCACAGCTATGTCCAACCGTGGCACCGCCAGGGCCCCATCAAGCCAAAACAGGAGTCGCCAGCTGGGGGCCTTCCGAACGGAGAGCACCACCCTGAGCGGGAACAGAGTGTTGAGATGTTTTGAGACTGAGTTATGGCAGTCAACCTAGCTGGGCCTAGCTATTAGCAAGCCAGCACCCTGTCACTCATCATTGCGACCAGGCCACTTGATCGCAATACACTGTGTGACTAGAAGATGCTGTACCAAGAGCTCATTCCCGAAGAGGAGTGCTGCTGCCATCGCGACTGCAACCAAATGTGAATTGAGGAGCTCCATCATGGCAGAGCGAGCACCTGACAGTGGAGCTATTTAATTTTACCAAAACTGAGATCATCTGAGATCAACAATTCACAAACATTTGCTGGTTGGCCATGATTGGCTATGTGATGTCATGTGGTCCACTCAATAAGCCAAGGAGCTATTGTGGCAGGCAAGCAAGGTACAAAGGAAGGCCGCTGACACTTGGAGGAGAAAAGCGAAGGCTGAGAATTGCCAAACCAATATGCAAAGTACCTTAGACGGTATGTCATGTCTGGCAAGCAAACGAGAACTAACAAGGTGGTCTGATTATTTCAGGTATGTTAGTTTAATTCACCAACCACATCCAACCACCAGGTCCCCACGCAGTGAGCAGTCGGAATGCCCAGCGCCAGCTGATGAATTCCTGGGCATCCCAATCCGCACAAAGGCAAGTTCGACAACCTCTGGCCTTTTGCATCCTTTTGCACCTCTAGTTTCTGAATGTTGCTGAAAATTGCTTGGGCAAGTTTCCCAGGAGTCTTTTCCGCAAAGAGCTGGATGGATCATGAAAAGCTTTGTCATGGCCCAAACCTGAAGAACATCTGTTGCCACTCCATGTCAAGCTCTTTCGAGCTCCAACGGTACTGTCGTCTCTCCGGAGCCACATCGGATCCCAATCAGAGTGCTATCAGAGCTGCTATCAAACAAACTGAGGGCAGCAAACAGCAAATGAATGATTGCCCTTGATGCTGCTTCAGGGACCGAGCCTGTGCGAAAATGACGGGCATGGCCCAATTCCTGGGCTCACCGAAAGCCATCATGCATCAGCAAAGCAAGGCAGCTTCAAGCCCTTATATGACATGCCTCTCACGCAGCTCCAGCATACCAACATCATGGATGCGGCTAAAATCCAGGCGATGCAGAAAGGACAAGAGCGCCAGTGCAATACCTGGCCAAAATGTGATAAGCACTGATGGGCACCGGCACTGACTGGTGGTATTGGCTGGTTTTTGCCACCCACCCAGCATCCAATAAGTCTCCAAAGTGCCTGGCAGCACGCCACCAAGCAGGCCATCCCCCCCAACTGCTGCAGCCAAGCGGAGCAACGCCACGTGGCCCAAACCTTGAAGGACCTGGCCCAATGGACATAAAGAGTGGTCGATGTCCATAGAACAGTCTGCCAGTCTGCCCTGTCAATAGAATGAATGTGCTAAAGGTCGAGGAACGTAGCTGCAGCCTCGAAAAAAGAACCAGGAATCAAGACCTTGGAGCTCGAACCTGACTGTCTGTCCGCCTGTCGCTCTTCCTTCGCACGTTGGCGAACTCACAAGGACCACAGCTGCAGCGATACGCCTGAAACTGACCAAATCTCTGAGATTGCGGCCTCCGAGGATCCAATATGGAGTACACCTGAAGAGAAATCCACAAATGACCTCCTGGTAGATGTTGAAGCCTGAGCTGTCCTCTTGTCACCCTTCAACTCTATTTCAACCCCTCTCTCACTCTCTCTCTCTCTCTCTCTCTTTTCCATTTCATCCCTTCCTTCCTTCCCTGGGCCAGGGCAATCAAATCTATTGAAATCCAACCAACTACTTACTCTGTTCTCCAAGCAACGGTGCACCGCATTGATCACATCAGGTGCTTCGCTGCGATCATCTCTCAACATGCGCCAAATGGCCTCTCCAAGCGTAGGTGCCTCCACGAAGTCATCCTCAGTGTACAGTTCTTCATCAAAAGCAACATCCACCGAAAAAGCACACTCAGATTCCACACTACTCCACCTTATTCTCCAGGCGTCGTAGTAAGAGAAGTAGAAGGCATTCCTTATCGCGAGGCGTTTAGTTGAATGGGACCGTGGGTGACAGTCCCTCGCTTGACGATATGCGTGATCTATACATGTGTTTCTCACATCAGTCCCACCTTTATCCAATGTATATTGAGCTCCGAGGATGTCTGAGGTTACGGCTCTGTTTTCAAGAACGCCTCCTTCTGCTCGGCCATCGAGAGCCCCTGGTAAACGCAGTTGTAGCCTGCAACTGGCACTATGGCTTCCTAAGGGAACAAAGCTGCCCACCAACAGCCTTTCGCTAGCCTCATGTTACATGTGTAAATGTATGTATCTACAGTAGTTATATGCAAATTAACTCGTATGTATACACATGCATACACAACATAACACAACATTACATTACATTGCATTACATTACACGCATACTTATGATCTCACATTTGCTGTACTGGTCCAATGGGTGTCAGCCCTCAACTGCCAATAAAAACCTGACTTCACGGGGTGGCTAAATGTCTTGAGCCTGTTACGCTTTGTTGAATGTATAAATCCCCCGTGTGCGAGAAGTTAGATATATATATATAGAACAAACATGCGAAAGTTGCACTCGCTCAGGAGTTGCTAAACATGTCCGACACGGGCTCATGCTAGCTGCTTGCAAATGGACTGCCCATGACTGTCCACTCAAAAGTCGGGCTTGGCGTAAAGCACCAAGCCTGCTACAGCACGGGTGAACAACAGGCAAAAAATTTCCGAACGGCAGCTGGTCCGGGCAAACTGACTCAAATGGCCTGAGACCTCGGCATAGTGTAAGCAGCCCACCACCACAGCGACGACCTTAGCCCGTGCCAGCCGTTGGGGTGCAACAACGCAACAACGCGCCGCACGGAATTCTGATGTGTCTTGGCACGCTCTCAGTCCAATCAACCTTGCCTTCATCACTTTTCATGATCCACCAAGTGGGAACCCGAAGGAGTTTAACTGAGTTAGACTTCACAAGGCCTTACAGGGGTCACTATACGTCCTCTATAAACATAACTCTTAAGTATCTCTTGTACAAGTTCAGGCAAACTAATGGCAACTACAAATAATATCAAATATATATATATATATACTATTTGCAAACAAGATGGAGCAGCAGAACCTCCAAAAATGTAGAGCGATAGGTAGAGTACGCCCCTCCCATAACCAAAATTGGGTTGGAGCAGGGGTATGAGCCAAGGCATAGGCGAGCCATCTATTATGTTGAAACTATTTTTTGCTATTGTTATAAAAACGGTGCCATCTACTAGCGTGAGGGTGCAATAAGAAAAAATGAAAAATAAAGAGGGAGAGAGAGAGAGAGAGGACCCCCCCTATTAATCAATGCCATCCTCTGGCCTCATTCTTGTCTTCCAATTCTTCCCAATCAAAGAGAGTATCAGCAAATGGTTTCCCAACCCCATGGTTTCCCCATTCAGTTTCCTTCTCATCCAAATCTTCACAGGTCATCATCTCATCATCCATCATCATGTCATCAGCTCTATTCAAAGGAAATTTAGTGAACGAAACTTCCGTGTTACGGGCATTCAAGAACCACTCATACACCACTCATCATACACCACTCATCATACACCACTCATCAATACACCACTCATCATACACCACTCATCATACACCACCAATCATGCACCACTCATCATACACCACTCATCATGCACGACTCATCATACACCACTCATCATACACCACTCATCATACACCACTCATCAATACACCGCTCATCAATACACCACTCATCAATACACCACTCATCATACACCACTCATCACGCAACACTCATCATGCACCACTCATCATGCACCACTCATCATACACCACTCATCATAGACCACTCATCAATACACCACTCATCATACACCACCAATCATGCACCACTCATCATACACCACTCATCATACACCACTCATCATACACCACTCATCATACACCACTCATCATACACCACTCATCAT